AGTGTCGCAGGACTTTCTTGCCAACCTAATACATACCATGAGCATTTACACGCATGTGGAAGAGCTATCGATAACTTTCAAGATTTAGCAAAATTTCTGAATAACAGATGTTTATGACTTGAATATGTGAACTCTAAATTTTTCATGAATGATAAGCGTTTCCAACCATCTCGATATCTAAAACATTCTTGAAATATACTAAGCCTATATTTAGATTCTAATAATCGTGCCTATGTTCTTGCATTCAAGCTGTAGTGCCTACGGTCGATTAATATGATTCCAATTAGAGAAGTATCACTGTTCAAAGTATAACTGGTATCCTATCGATGCGCCTTTCTAGTAAGTGGTGGCAGCATCACTAAAAAGAGGATGTTACAATGAAATGGATGTGGAAGAAGGGGAGGTGTGCCTACTGCTAAAAGACAGCGGGTTTAAGGTGATGCGATAAAGACAAGCATAGTGGCGAAGCGCGGCAGTTGCCACGACGCTAACCCTAGCTGTCGCAAACGCTACCTGCCGTGGCGCGGCCTGCCTCCAACTAGTGGACTTGGGCTGTGATTGATTGATGGTAAGAGGTCGCCGTTTGCGACGAGAGAGATAGAGGGAGAGTAGAGGGCCTAAAGCAAGGCGCTCACGTCGATGCATGATCTTCCTTCAAACTCGCCCAGAGCGGAAATCAACGGGTCACAGTGGGTTCCATTTTGCGGGTTTCGAGCCGCTATCTATTGTGTTTCCGTGACCGGTGCACACAGTACTCCACTTCCTGTGCGCAACCATTTTTCGTAACATTCGCCTTTATGACCAGTGAAAACAGCCATGGAAACCAGGGGCCTAACTGTGGGGAATGCCGTCAGGATTTCCGATTCCTTTCCGTTCCAGTTGTATGAGAGATGAAAGCATTTTCCAACAATCGAATTAAGCGATTCGGCACAGCAATTGGCATTCTAAATGGTAGCAGTCAACCGTTTTCATTGAACAGTTGGGTATCAGTTTTTCGTTTCAGGTGAACCGATTTCTTTCAAACCGGAGGAAGTGGAACAGCTGCGGATCCAACTAGAACAGGTATGTTTACCCAGGGCCATTGGCAAACTTCAGAATTATAATATTAGTTATCAATCGTGCCCTTATAAAAACATTTTTTCCTGATCGGCATTCATTGGACAATGAACTTAGCTTCTTAAAGTAAATGTTCGCCCTCACTTCCTTATTTTGAAATATTATAATGGAGCAGAGGATAAGCCTGTTTGGTTGACTCTGCACTCATATGGAATTTTTAGCAGAGCTACTGTGGCGTTTTCTCTATGCATTGGTGTCAGTTCACTCACTAGCTAAGTGTAGCTTTTCCCGAATATGACAGGCTTCATTTTGAAGTTTCAAAGTAGCGGTGCCCAATAGGTTATGCGCTTCATCCAGTGCTCTTGTTTGCCGGCTGAGGCTCTCTCATAGACTCATCTTTCACTATTTATTCGTATTGTGTTTTCGTGGGTGGTCACTGTTCGTATCTAGCTGTACGTATAGAAAGCTCTGCGGGAGATATATTCTAGATTACCGCTCTGCGGAAATAGTGCCTTTTTGGTATGATTCATACCTCGAAAGTAAGCTCACCGATCAGGTGTCTAAGGTCATCATAGATGACCGAGACAGCTAGTAACTCTATGATGCATCTTAGCATTTGCCGTTTAACAATTCGTTCTCGTTATTCGTTGCAGTTCATTTAAGAAATCCCATTAAAGGGTTAGGTGGAAATGTCCACCTGAATATCATCTTTTTCTCTTGTGTATTGTTTCTTCTTTCATACTTATGCTCGCTCTTATGGGTCCATCCACGCTACTCAGCTTACCATCCCAATTCTTTGCTTTTGCCTTCAGTGACCCTGAGTTCATCAGAGTATCGGCCGTACATCACAGCATAGCAGGGACACTTTCTCCCGTTTTCTGCTCGCCGCGCGGATCTCTCTCTGGGAATTTTGTCGCGAAAATTTTTCAGGGT